CCATTCCTCGCTGGAAGTGATTACGACATCCATCCCCCTCCTTAGGCCTGTACTTTTCACTGGGACCATCAATAGACAAATTTTTGCTTCAAGGTATCCTGGTGACCAGGTCAAACGTACCTTTCAGCAAATTCTACACTCATCCAAAGGATAGACGAACACCCACATATTTTCCTATATATTCAACAGCAAAGAGAAATGGGGATATCAAATATACTGATTTTTTTATTAAAGTAATTTATATGGCAGCCCAACTCACTCACAGTAACTCTGGACAGCTTACAGAAATAAAACCCCAAATACAAACCCACTATACGCCCACATATTAAAAAAGGGATAATCCATTTCTATCATTTGAAGAAATGATAGAATAAAATGATAAAGTTGAAAAAACAGGAGTTGGGGATACTTTATGTCTTCATTTTTTAAAGAGATTTAAAATGACAAATATTATTTGTTAGAATTACTAATTGACATTTCTGGGAAGCACCTACTCAAAACTCATTTTATGGCTTTATTTTGACATCAGCTGTTCTTTTGTATTCAATGCTGGCCTAAGAACAAATATATAGCACTTGGGGATGAAGATGCAGGCCAGCAGACCAGCACTGAAGGCCAAGATGGAGAAGACCTGCACGGCCACCATGTATTTCCCCTTGGTGCTCAGGTACGTGGGCACAAAGGAGACCCAGATACTGCAGAAGACCAGCATGCTGAAGGTGATCAGCTTGGCTTCATTGAAGGCCCCAGGCAGATACCTGGCCAAGAAAGCCACCATGAAGCAGATGGCAGCCAGGAGGCCCATGTAACCAAGGGCACAGTAAAACATGGTGACAGAGCATTGCAGGATGATCTCTGAAGGCTCAGAGTGCAGGTCAGCCTCAGGAAATGGGGGAGAAATGCCCAATCAGATGTTGCAGAGGACAGCCTGGAGACCAGAGCAGGAAAGGATGATGGAATTGGCCAGGCTCTTTCCCAGCCATCTCTGCACTGTATTCCCTGGCTTTGTGGCCAAGAAGGCTAACACCACCATGACCGTTTTGGCCAAGACCAAAGAGACAGTGAGGGAGAAAACGATGCTGAAGGCTGTTTGTTGGAGCAGACAGGAGGGTGTCATTGGCTGGCCAATGAAGAGGAAGGAGGTCAAGAAGGAAAGCAGGAGCGAGACTAGGAGGATGTAGGAGAGATCCCGAGTGTTGGCTTTAACAATTTAAGTTTCCTGGAATTTAATGAAGGTTCCCAAGACAAAGCATGTGGTCAAGGACAAGAACAAGGCAAGGGAAGCCAGGATGATCCCCACATTTTCTTGATAAGAAAGGAAGGTTTTAATTTTGGAAATACAGAGAACTCGACTGACATTGGATGCTGATCTGGACATTTGCTGCATTTTTCGGCATCTGAAAAAGAGAAAGAGTAACATCCAGCGTAGAGCTTCTTCCTGAATCAAAGGCATGCACAGAATATTCCTACCCAACAGGATGAGAAAGCCCTGCTTCTCTACCAGCCGGTCAGGGAAAAGGGGGTGGAGAGATTCCAAAGAGTTCTTTGCAAGTAAATATCAGCTTTCCAAAGTTACGCTTCCATCTTTTATCCTCTGGGGGTCATAGTATCTGGGTGGTTCTCCTGTTGCTGTTTCTCCTTGCCCTGCATTGGGATCCTCGACTTGATACTTGGACAGGCTGCTGGAATTCTCCAGCACTTGAACCCTGGACAGCTACAGACAACTCTCATGGCTCTGCTTCTGCCTGTCTTCTGGTAGCATTTTGCCACTTGTCACTAGGCAAGTTACGGACTCTGCAAATACTCTCTGTTCTGGCAGTTCTTCCTATCGGTACAGCAAGAAAGGGAAATTGGTAGAACTGTCTCCTCCTCCCTCCCTCCCTCCCTCCCTCCCTTCATTCCTTCCTTCTCCCCTTCCTCCTCCTCTTCAACATTTCATGATTTCATCAGAGGGAGGGAGGGAGGAAAATAAGGAAAGAAGAAAAATAAAGAAAAGGGAAAAGAGAAAAAAGGGAGCGAGGGAGCAAGGGAGGAGGGATCATCTTTAAGGTCATTTCATCTTCACCATGAAATTATAGATAACACCCCAAATCTAATAGAATCCTGTTCACTTTGCACTAAGCTTGCCTGAGTATAAACAGCACTGAATTCACTTGCGCACTGCCTGTGTGGTCTGGCTTTGTCCCTATCCATACTCACCTTCCGATAAGCCTGCCCCATTGATTCCAAGCAGAATCCAAGGGCATCTTGAATGCCCCAAGGAGTTAAAGGACCTTCTGGTTGGAGCCTTTGGGGTGTCTGCATTTAGGCTCTGCAACTGCTGGGGCCAGGAAGATCACGGGAGGATCTCAGAACATCAATAACCACAAGCAGATGGCTGGTTAAAGTTGGCTCTCAACTTCTCATGTGAGAAAAGGGGAGTAGGAGCTTCACTTACACTGCCTGGGAAAGACAGGTTCAAAGAACTCACAGAGATTCCACCTGAATGAGTTCACTCCTAAATGTGGGAGGGAGTTTGCTTATCTAGTTTCTAAGTTTGTTTATCTAGTTTCTAAGATCACAACCTATTATTTCATGGCAATCAACCCAACTAAGGAGACTAATTATTTTGTGAATAATTTTTTTGTGGCTTCTACTCTGCCGTTATGGGCAGAACATAACTCTATGTTGATGTGCACGTGGCCATGCTCAAAGTCCCTGCTGCCCCTGGATTTTGTAATTTTAAAATTATAAAATTTATAATTTTATAAAGGTAATAATTCATTGGAAAAGGTTGGGGCCAAATTCTCCAATTTCACTCACTAGCCTGTTTTCCCAGTTTGAAGACCCATTGGTGAGTTCTCCTTTTGGGCACCTGCAAGTTGAGTCATTCGGAGTTTGTAGAAGTGATTTTCCCTTCCTTGCAATTCTCCCGATCACAATGATTCATTTGGTCTCCTTCTACAAAGTCTCTAGAGACCTTTCTGAAATTATGGAGAAGATTGGTCAACAAGCACGTTGAAAACATGTTTTGGTGTCATAGTCTGACTCAGGATAATATTGTGTGACATCTTGACGTCGGAAGGGCTGGTTGCATAAACAGCTCAAGAGAAAAAGAGCTTTTAGGACAAGCAGGGCTGCGTTTAGGCTCCCTGTCCTTCCAATCCAAAGCCTTGCCTGGACTCAGTCTGAATCAGGAAAGCCACTGAAGACTGTCTTGGAGAAGAGCTTCCAGATCTTCTCCTCCATCCTTGATCAAAGCAACTGCAATGTGCAAGGCTGGATCAGGCCAACCAGACGTGTTGCTGCTGCTTCTCCTTGTGCTGCTTTTCTGGTCTGAGGGAGCCTCTCAGATGCTCCAAGCCAAATGTCTCCTTTCTCCGAAGAGGGATGAGGCAGACCCGCAGAACCATTACAGGCCAGGAGACTATTTCATTAGTGGCATAAACTCTGCAACCAAGGCTAGGTTTCAACCATTCAGCTTTCGCATAACTCCCTCAACTCAGTTTTCCATGTAAGTCGATCTTCCTGTGCTGCATTCTAGCTTCTTCTTTCTGATGGGTTTCTCAGGTTCCAGCCCTCTGAAATTACAAGCCATTCATCGCTTGATCAGCGAGCTTTGCCTTGATTCTGTCCTCTTTTATTTATTTGGGGGATCTATTTCACACCCTGCAGCCTATGAGGCTCCTTTGGAATGGTCAATGAAGGTGATCAAGGAGAGGCTTAGCTCTCCCTTGAAAATGCAGAATAAAAATTGGCTTTCTTTTACATCCTCCATGCAGAGCTAGATGGTGGCTACAGAGAATGAGGCGGCCTCCCCCTCCTATCCTGATTTGTGGAGATGACACGGGTGCCAGTGTTCAGGAGTCCTGCATTCTGTCCGTAACAGCCACAATCTTTTTTTTTTTGCACCAAACTTCCCGATGGGATGAAAGACATGATATGAATTAAGTGTATTAAGAGTTGCACTGAAATGGGTGTGATATCTGAGAGTCTCATCCACCTTTATGAGGACAGGGAAACCAGACCATCCCAATTTGTGATGAAATGTCCTAAATCTGTTCACAAGGTTGACTTTCTTTTCCTGTAATAAACTGGGACAGAGGTGCTGAAATATGAGCTTCATTCTTGTATCTACCCAGTTTATTAATTTTATTATACTTCTAGAGTGTTTTTAGGAATGTTGCAGTCCTTTCAGAGAAATTCTTGTTATGGGTTGATTTGAAGCATAATACCAAATAACTTTTAAATGTTATTTCTGATTTCTTGTCTGTATATTTATGTTTGTAGGAGACTATCCACAAGGTACTGGAAAACGCTTTCCTTCCTTTATGCCATCCAGGAGATCAACCAGGATCCCCGTCTCTTGCCCAACATTACTCTGGGTTACAATATCTATGAAAACTATTTTAACACACAAACAACTTCAGATGCTCTGCTGGACCTGCTTGCAGACGGGGAGGCCAATGTCCCCAACTACAGCTGTGGAAGGCCGAGAAACACAGTGGCTGTTCTCGAAGGGGCTGACACTGACACCTCCATCCTCATTTCGACCATGTTGGGCACCTACAAAATTCCACAGGTATGTCTTTATTGGGAAGACAAGATTCAGGTATGGACATTTCAGTTAGATATCGCTCCCTTGAAACATGGGAGCATGGGTTTTATCATGGAAATGATAGGCCTCAAGGATGAAGGATCAGGAGACCCAATGGGAGGGAAGGGTTAGAGCAGACTTCTTCCCTCCTAACATCTTCCTAATCCAGACTGGAGAACATTTTTGGCTCTTTGGAACAGCAAAGTGGTATAGTCAGGGAGCAAGTAGGAAGAGAAGCAATGCATGAGCAGAGAATGAAAGTCCCCACCCAAGACTCTTCAGCACAGAAGTGTTCAGTAGGTACATATTTGTTATTTCAAAAATTGGACTCAGAATAAATAAATTGGTCTTTCTTTTTCAGATCAGTTATACTTTTGCTTCCCAGATTCTAAGAGATAAATCCCAGTCTCCTTTCTTCTACCCAATGCTCCCTGCTGAAGGAGTCCAGTATCCAGGGATGGTCAAGCTGCTCCTCCATTTCAGGTGGACCTTAGTTTGTCTGGTGGCTCCAGACACCGACCAGGGGCAGAGATTTATGAAAACATTGTCTTCCATGCTGTTAAGGAATGGCATTTGCCCAGTTATATCACAAACCTTTCCCATATCTATCAGTAACTTTCTAATACTTTTGGAGCCATACTTCAAGTGGAGAGAAATGAATGTCTTTCTTTATGGCGCAGAGATTAGCTCCTTCCAGACAGGAATATTGGCTATACGCGCAGTGCTGAAAAACCTCCAGGAATCGGTTGTGGGAAAAGTCTGGATCACAACAGCCTACTGGGATCTTACTTTGGATTTCATGAATAATATCTTTACCTTCCAGAACGTCTGTGGTTTCTTTTCATTTCCTTTGCAGAAAAATAAAATGGTGAACTATGAATCCTTTAAGCACTTTCGCTTCTCCATGCAACGCTTTGTCGAGAAAAGCTTTGTGTGCTCCTACGCCCAAGATGCCTTTTCCGTGAAAGTCTGGAAGCGGTGCAGGGAGAGAGAAGAACTGGAGACTCTCCCCCAGGAGGAGACAGAAGAGATCCTCTCTCTCGACAGCTATTTCACTTACAACATAATCAGGGCTGTGGCCCGGGCCTTACATGCAGCCTATGAATCCAGATCCAAGAGGACAAAGAGGGAAGGTGGTAAGAACTTGGAAACTGCAATACTGAAGGCCTGGCAGGTATTTCTTTTCCATTATGCACAACTCAATTCCAGTCTGTGCATTTGGGGGTGGGGGAGTAGTACCTCCAGGTGGCTGAAAGACTTTTCTCTCTGGAATAAGCCAACAGCTGGAAACGTAGGAAGAAAATGCACAGCGAGATGCTCCTCCCGGCAGTCCTTTGAGTGCTTTGGCTGTTGATGGAGACCAAAGGTCCAAGATTCTGCCCTGAGGCCAAATTCAGCCTGGGAAAAATGGAGGGAAAAAGAGTGGTGAAGACTAGCAAAAGAGAATCAGAAATAAAGAAATGGTTGGGCTGGGTGACTCGGTTGAGTTACTGGCCTTTCTCCTGGGCTGAACAGAAGACTGGCAGCCCTGAAAATGTTTCCTAGACTTCTTTTGATGAATAAAAGAGGCTCCAAGGAGGAGCCAAAAAATCACAGAAAAGGATTTGCTGACTAAAAGATGAAAAGACCCGGGAAGGGTACATGGCTTGAATGACATAACTCTATGCAGAGATCCTTTTCGCTTTTCCTGCCATTGTTTTATCCAGATCCCACAATCAGCAATGTAAATGTGAAAAGCTGAGGGAGATGTCTGCACTTTCTTAGTGTGGAAAGGTCTTGGTATCCCTGTTGCTACCAGAATTGCTGTATGCGGTCATGGAAGGGTCTTCTGGAGGCAGCCCATTATTCTTCAAACTAGGGTCCTTTTCTCAACCAGACATAGCTCTCACACTCCTTCTTGTGATCAGAGTACTGGTTTGATGGTACTGGTTTGATGGAGAGAGATAGATGTTTCCTGTAATCAGCATTTTAATATTAAAGCTGGGCAAACACTGGGTCAATAGAAGAGAATATTTGTAGCTCAGGGCCGAACTGCAGAGTCCTTGGTGCTCTCTGAGCTTGGTTGCTTGCTTGAAGATGTTTTATTACCCAACTAGGTAACATGATGATGTTTCATTACCCTACCAGGCACCGATGATGTTACGTAGTTGGGTAATGAAATGTCTGCGAGCAAACCACCATGCTCAGAGAGCACCAAGGATTCTAAACATTGAGTCAATCTGGGAACACCATTTGGAGGGGGGAAGACTGTCAAATCATAGAAATAAGTGATCTGGTTGGGGAAAAAAAGGGATCTTATGGACCTATATGTTTGGATCTATGTAATGGGGAGCATGAAACCTGCCATGGTAACTCACTCTGAGCACTACATGAGACTCTGAGAGAAAGCCCCAGGAAGGTAGAGAGACATGAAGAGACCTACATTCATTGCTATGGTAAAACAGTGGAAAGAAGGGCATGAGCAGATGTTGAAAAATTTGTCCCTTACACGGTTTGCCCTGATGGTTTGTATTTAAACATTAAGCTTTGTTGTTGTTGTTGTTCAGTCGTTAAGTCGTGTCCGACTCTCCGTGACCCCATGAACCACATCACACCAGGCCTTCCTGTCCTTCACTGCCTCCCTGAGTTTG